ACGATACAAATATTTATATTAAATCGACGAATTGCTGAGTAAATACTATATTAAAACATTACCAGCAACAATGGAGCTCTGGCGACACTTCTGATTCTTCAAAACTGTATGCTCAAGAAGGTGAAGGGGAGGGCAATTGCTTTTATAGAGTAATATATATATATGTCATGACACGAAAACGATTGAAATTTTACGAAAGAAGTTAATTACAATATGTTTATCAAAACTGGTTCCCACAGTTAAAACTTTTTGTGTGATGTGCCAAAATATACAATTAACGAACGTTTGAAGATCTCACCAAAAGGCAGATTAGAATCTTATTTTTAATTGCTACACCTACGATCCTTTAAACAGATAATAATCTGTCATTCGCTTGCAATGCACAAAATGATCTGCTATCTCCAAATTATATTTGCAAGTATATCCTAAATCAAGTTATAATTGCTTGCAGCAAGTTTGAACATCAATTTATGTAAGTTGGTTTAAAAGATTTGTATAAGTAACTAACTTGGAAAACGATAGATTTATAATCTAGTATTTTTAAAAAAATATGCATTATTATTCATAAATTTTTAATTTGACACTTTATATATTTTATCTTCGATCTAATGTACGCTAACGATTTTCATGGCAATCGGGATATTAAAAAATAAAAATCACAAAAATACTGAACTCCGAGGAAAATTCAAAAAGGAAAGTCCCTAATCAAATGGCAAAATCAAAAGCTCAAACACATCAAAGGAATAGATAACAACTGTCATATTCCTGACTTGGTACAGGCATTTTCTTATGTAGAAAATGGTGGATTGAACCTGGTTTTATAGCTAGCTAAACCTCTCACTTGTTTGACAGTCGCATTAAGTTGTACTTTACAAATTATTCATTCGGTTTAAGGTTTAAGTATCGCTCAGCCTCAACATGAACAATAATTCACGAAATGTGAGTTTTTCTAACATTGCAAAACCATATTCAGATTGTTAAAACCCCGCTGTTTGTTTGCAGGCGGTCTAAATATGTTTCTTCTGGGCGATCTCTATCGTTCGTTCGTTCGTTTGTTCGTTCGTTTGTTCGTCCGTCCGTCCATTTCTAGTATCGGCTTCTTCTTAACCCCTAATCAGAGTTTAATGAATTTTCTCAGATTCTTCAACTTTTAGCACAGATCTTTTTTTTTTCTATCCAAATTATTTTTAGGTTTAACTTAGCAAATCATAGACTTTATCGACGCTTAATATGGTGGGGGCGGATGTATCATTTTGTGAGCTTTGCTCGGAATACCTCTAGTTTAATCTATGACGGCAATTGACCTATACATACATTGTATCATTATAGTTGATGTGATATTAAACCACTCCAACCTTGTTCACACTTCCCACTCAGTAACACATAGATATGTTCAGTACACATGATCTTGTCTTATTCCCAAACATAAACAAAACCTTTTTTATAAAGCCTACTATGTGTGTTAACAGTTTGAGATAAGGAACGTTTAGATGCTCGTCACGTGAATTATAACGATAACATATGTTTCAAATATTTATTGTAAAAATAGGTTTTTATTTCAAACCCGGTTATGATGCATTTTGTGAAAACTCATAATCTTGTTTTCCAAATCCGGGCTGTGATTGCACATTGTGATTACAAAATGGCACTTTATTATGGTATTCAGAACCCAATTTTGAACAGGCTTTGTACAATTCGTACTGGTTTTGAATTATAAGGGATCAAAAGGGACCGCAAATTACTCTTTTCCAGTGTTTTTTTTCTAAAAAGTAAAGTGGAATGATCAAGTTGCTGTTTCAAACATATAACTCTCCCCCATATAACCAGTCATTACTGTTTAAAACACAATTCTATTTCTCCACTCACTTTCGATTATACTGTTTAAACCCTTGAGCGGTCTTATTGTACATTGTTCTAAAACTTTTATACATACTGTATAGACACTTGTGGTTCTTGAGGTCTTTTGGTAAGAAAAATTGTTTGATTACTGTCTTGCTATCTTTTTGTGCTCGTATGGACTGGGATGAAAATATTTATTAAATAAAGATGCTTGCAAAGTTTGCATTACATATAAACATTCGCATCCTGTTTTCTTTTGTGATCTTTTACCTTGACCTTTAAAACCTTGATATAATAAATATCATATCAAAATATTCCATTAAGACAATAAATCAGTAGAAGAAACATGATAATGCGTGATGTAGATGCTTTTAACGAATGATTGAATTGTTTATTCGTCTTTCAAGATAAAAAGAGATGGAAACAAACATTTAAATAATCGATCATATAGACTAAGTCAGTTCTTAAAGACATCTGGTTATTATTTAATTTTCGGTCAGGTTTTAGAAATTTTTAGGTGGAAATTGTTCATTACGTGCTGATGAGTATGTTGCATGAACTATATGAGTACATTTGAACAAAACATCATGGTACCTTATGTAGAACATCTTTGCATGGTATGTACAACTATCGTGATCACCACAACCACACACACTTAGTAGCATTCAATACTGATTTTCATAGAAATAAAATCTAATCCAAATAACCAAGGGTCATTGGAATAAAATCATTATAATCTTCCAAACTTGCTTTCGAATAACTTTTTTTTGAATATCACAGATAAGGAAATTTCATCAGTGCAAAATTGTTAAAACAACAAGGATAATTTAAAAAGATATGTAGAAATAAAACCAAACCGTTCTTAAATGAACCTTTATAACTATTTTAATTCACTTTCCATAATGTGAGAATCTAAAGTCGACTTGAGTAATACCAGATTCATTTTAAAATTATTGAACTGCGTGTAACATGTAATAAGAACATCACTGTCTTTACAATTATATATTTACGCAATTATAATCATTACTTAAGGCAGACTGGCTATGTAAAATTTCAGCAACTATATTAAATAAGTTGAAGATAATGATAATGGAAAGCTTCAATTTTGAATGCAGTAAATTTAATGAGTTCATAATTTACTTTAAAATATTCTTTTGTATATCTCGTTTGTAGAAATATTTTAAAATATTGATTGTGCATAACATTTGTAGAGATATCTTGAAAATATGGTTTTGTACATCGTAATTGTAGAGATATCTAATCAACGAATATTAGATAAAAAAAAGATTCCGTTTTAATATATAAAGCATGCAATGATTTTTACGAATATCCTTCAGGATCAGACTGCATCTAATCTTAATAATTCTTAGATGCCCACAACCTATATACGAATGTGTTCAAGTCTATAATACGAATCAAAGACAATTTGAAAAATAAAAAAAAAAATACTTAAAGTAAAATTTATAAACCTTTTAAATTTTTTTTTTAAAATACCTTGCAAAGAAGTGCGATACCTCAGAACGACAAAAGCAATCACACAATACCAAATGACGCGTGTATACATGTCAACTATGATGTATTAAAGAGTTTCTCTTTAATTAGTTTGAGCACGTTTAAGGGGCGTTGTATTCACATGTAATTTTGTTACGTCTGAAGCTCTTATCTTGACCAACCTTTACCAGAAACGCCTAGGGCCAACGGAAAAGTGTAGATAAAGAGAATAACCTCACGAAAAGAGCCCAAATAGAACATAACCGTTTGAAGCCATGTTTACCTGAGGTACATGTAAGAAGAATCTTAATTTTTATAACGAAGATAAAATTTAGAAAATGCGTTTTTCACAAAAAATATGGATATTATCTTGCTTCAAACGTCTATAATTTAAACCATTGCTGTGTACTTCTCGACTTTCTTCGAAATCCATCATTAAGTCTACCAGCGAGTAAACACCTCAGAAGCCAAATGCATAAATGGTTTCGTAGCATTCAAACATAAATTGTCTTTTAAAACAATACATGCAATATGAATTATTAAACCGTTTATTTAAATTAAAGATAATATTCTTCAATCCATCGATTTTTTGTTTAATTCTTCAAGGTTTTCTCTAATCGTTTAATAGAAGTTTGCTAGCTTTTCTGATAAAGTTCTACTTACAATGTATTTACAATTTCTAATCAGTTGCTTTACTTTACGTTATGGAATAACCGTTTCACAGATGATATCGGATATGTTCCTTATGTCGTAACTACAATACCCTTCCCTTGTCACGAATGTGTCCTACCGAATTAGACTATTTACCGGATTTGTAATAACATAAGCAACACGACGGGTGCCACATGTAGAGCAGGATCTGCTTTCCCTTCCGGAGCACATGAGATCACCCCCAGTTTTTGGTGGGGTTCGTGTTGCTCAGTCTTTAGTTTTCTATGTTGTGTCATCTGTCCTATTATTTGTCTGTTTGTCTTTTTATTTTTGGCCATAGCGTTGTCAGTTTGATTTCGATCTACGAGTTTGACTGTCCCTCTGGTATCTTTCGTCCCTCTTTTACACATGCACAATTCAGCATAGAAAAAAAACAAGCATATGCACGTTAATTACAAATTTCGAAGTTTTCTTCTACATGTAATTAACTGTTACAGTTTCTCAAGTCAGAAAGGTGAACGTACATTATTTTCAATTTGTTATCGATGAAACTGAAATCGATTCATATACAGAAGACAGTGCTATTGTAGTAATTCTTATTACATTAAGATGCAAATGTTTATCTTTACTTGAATATAATGAATGATAATAGGTACCAACTTTTATTTACTAAATAAGAAACCATTGATTCGATCATTTGAATAATTGAATGATATAATGAAGTTTTATATACATATATTAACATATATTTGATCAACTTAATACATGTATAAATAAATCAAGGGCACAGAACCAACTGTCTTAAAAGTGAACACTATCGATATTCAGATGATAGAAAACGAAAGATATATACCGAAAGTGCCCTTAAAAAGGTAATATTTTATGAACACACATTTAAAATTTGAAATTTCAACTCAGATATTGACCTACACATTCATAAGTTAAAAAACATATATAAAAGGCCATTACGGCAACTCATGCAAACGAAATAATACAGATTCAGTGAAAGTTTATCTTACCTACGCTTGTATCGAAAAGATACTCCGATGTCAGGAATTGTTGAGCAATTGTCGATTTTCCAACTCCTATTGCACCGAGAATCACAATTCTATAAGGCTTGATTTTATGAATAGAAACATCACTGTTAGCTAAACTATTTTGAGAACATGAGCTAGATTCGATAGACAAGACATTTCCGTCTCCCTCGGATGAAACAATACTGTTGGTACTGCGTGACTTGATGGAATCTCCTCTGTTTACGATGCCTTTCGATGTCATCTCAAAAGTTCTTAGTCTATACAAGTCATGATCCTGGTCTTCGTAATTTGTTCTCAAGTTCTTTATTAAAGGCCTCCTGTAGTTATTTTTCGTTGGTAAACTGCTTGTTCTTGGACGAATTTCATCCATTTCGAAATTTTCGAAAGTTTTATTTTTCGGCTTTTTCATAGAGGTTGAACGAGCCCTCTGTCTGGGGCCTATGTCGAGATTATTATTCGAAACTTTGCACACATGTTCACCAATAAGAGGGCTTGGTACATGTTTCATTTTATCAAAGTACATTAGTTTTCCTTCTTCAACTTCTTGTAAATTATAATGCATTTTCATTCGTTAAAAAACAACGGTCGCTTTTGTTTTCTTTTACATCCATCTCCTAATCCAAAAGGCATTTGAAATAATTAAAAACGGCGGCATGTAAATCCTTTTCATGGCACATGGTATTAAAATGTACAGTACCAACTGCCTGATTTGTTACAAAACACAGTAAATTTATTTGGTCTCTGATAATTCTGTTAAATGATATCTGATGTTTTATTGGTTGACAAGCATTAAGCTCCTACTGTGCTACTGAATGCTGATTTCACGCTACCAACTAATCAATTGGTCACATTGTAAATGTTTCCGATATTTCTTTATGATAGGAAGGAAGATCGAGTATTGATTGACAGTTGTTATACGGTAGTTGCTTTAATGTGATCTTTTACCTAATAATAGTCTGACATCTGCTGCAACAATAGTAATTGTAAACCGAACAATTAATTTTGTACGCATAGAAATGTTATATTTAAACGGTTCGTGGGTGTCAAATTATTGAAATAATAGTTGACAACACATTTATGTATTACATGTAGTAAACAGTTATATATAAAGTTTTGTGAATGGTCAAGTGCTATTCGTATTTGTTTTCCTGTTTTTGTTTTGTTTTGTTTTAATGGATTTTCGATATATTTTTAAAAGATGTGCACTATCAAAAATATATAAAACACGCACATTAAAGGAAACGTGACGTTTCAGTGTGAGCAAATTCATACGAAATCAAACAAATTATCTTTAAAAAAAAGTACGTTACAGTGGATTTCAAATATATTTATACACTGAAAAAGGAAAAGTACTACCATTTTTGAATAAAACTATCAGTTGCTTTAATTGGTTTCTAAGCTTTTATCATAAAAATTTTGCCTTGAAAAAAAAATACAGTAATTGCATATTTCGTCAACCGCCTTTCCTCTGTATATTTCCGATATTTTTTTTAAAACTCATCATTCAACATTTCAATTTTTTATAATTAATAATTATCAAACCGCTGCTACATGAATGATAATTCACTGAACTATTTGGGTGACATTAATAGTATACGCAAGTATAGATTATCACGTCCGTAACAAAGGCTGTTAGGGAATGAATCCCTCTTTTTCTAAATATTTCTCTTTTATATTTTTATTTTTACGTAATAAATATTTTTTAATATTTTAACCTATTTTCGCTTGTTTAATGTGTTCTTGCTCTTATTCAAAACATATTACAAAAACAGTAGTCTGTATGTGATGCCCCTTTATTCATAGGCACCATATATAAATGAATCACATTCACTATGATAACTGAACATATAGGTTAAAATTGTTAAAACATAAACAAACAAAAATTTAAAAAAAGGGGTCCATATCCCAAGCGCCTGTGATCCGTAATGAAATAATGTATGTACTCCGTATCTAAATGAAAGATGCACGAGATTTGTCTTTGAACTCTACAAAGTATATAAAACGTGGGGCCTCGGTGGCCGAGTGGTCTAAGTAGTTACTACTGTAATCACTAGCCAGTCAACACTGAGATTGTGAGTTCGAACCCCGCTCGTGCGAGTGTTCTCGACTCCAATCTTAATTGACTAGGATTGTCAGTTTTCCTATCGAAGGTCGGTGGTTTTCTCCGGGCACTCCGGCTTCCTCCACCAATAAAAACTGGCCGCCACGAAATAGCCCAAAAGCGGTGCTTAAAAGTGGCGTTAAAACATCAAAAATCAAAATCAAATCAAAGTATAAAACCGTGACACTTCGAATTAAACTCACTCAAAAGTATATAATGATTGTTACTGATTAACTTTTATAAGTTTTCACTATTTACAAATATTTTGTTCAATATGTGTATTCAATATATTTGTTCAATTATTATATAAAACGTTGTTACATTTTTTGTGTTTTTGTTTTTGTTTCATAAAGTTTGAATGTACAATTATTAGATACATATTATTTATTATCTTTTATAAAGATACATCTTATGATTATTTACTACTGGTGAAATTCGATACATTCTTAAACATTTAAAAATATTAAAATCCTATTTTTCTTTACGCTAACTCTTAGGACAGTGGTTAGGACATCCTAGCTAAGCTAGTCCTAAGCATGCTGAGACATGTCGTAAGTAGGTCCTAACATTATCCTTATTTATTCCTAAGATAGGTCTTAGGACAGATCCTAGGACAGCTTCGATAAACAGGACCCTGGTTTTCGAAAGTATCCTAAGATATGTCATAAGATATATCGACCGCCTCGGTGTTCTAGTGGTAGCGTGTTCGCCTCGAGTGCGGGTGGTCGTGAGTTCGAACACCGACCGGGTCAAACCAAAGACTTAAAATTGATATTTGATGCTTCTCCGTTAAGCACGCGAAAATAAGGAGTGAGAGCAAAGACTGGTCGGCTCGGAGTCAGAAAAATGTGTCCGGGTAAGGTGACATGTCCTCATGCGGACTGTTACCTTGTGAACTAGCATGTTAAAAATCCGGCTCAGCGTGTCGGTCTAGTACAAAACAGGGTAAATATTCATATTACGTTAACATGTTTTCGTCCTGAATATGCATATATCTAAAATTTGCCACTGGACGTTAAGCGGCCATCCATCTTTATCATCATAAGATATATCTTAGGACAAATTTTATGCCATCTTATGACTATCATATGATATGTCGTAGAATGTAAACCAAAGCTGTTCAAAGATAGTCATACCTATGATACTCTTATGAATGTCATAAGTGAACATATTTTCTTAAATTTTAAACTGATTAAAAATGCTAAAAAAAAACACTTTAAAAATAATAATTATTATAATATTCTTATTATTTACGAATATTTTAGTTTTTTTCATTATAATGAACATGAAATAATATATGAAAAGGTATTACAATCTGAGTTCATAATTGTTTAAATTTACTATGTTTATATATAATAAAACTCTAGAACTTCGCGTTCATGTATTATTATTCATGAAGTGTTATTTGATTGTAATACTTTTAAGATTTGGTACATCCTGTAACCACTTAACGAAATTCCCGTGCAATTACGTTAAGAAACTGCTTTATAAGGAAAGACCTAATATATCTCTATTTATTATACATAATTCCGAGTAAAAAAAAGGGGTCCAATTTTTACGTCGCAGGAGGTTCTTATTTGAATTGACGAAGTGGAGTAGAATAAATCTTTGCGGCCATTTACCAGACTGAGCAACACACCACAAACAGTGCCGAAAAAAGAGAGCTATGGGAGGCCGTATGTGCAAAGATAAATGCAGTAAATGACACTGATCACCTTAGAACATTGGAAAAGATGTCGTTAATCATATATTAAGACCATCATATTAGGTGTCTCAAGTTTAGGATAAAAGTTATGGCACATCGTAACTTGGGACACTTTCGAAAACATATCTTATGACTAAGATCATCGTAAGACATATCTTAGTCATAAGATACTTTCGAATATCAGGCCCATGTTGTATTGGATTTCAATCAAGATGAACTTTCATTCAAGAAAACGGGAGAGAAATCAAATTGATATAAGAAAAAAATAAAGGTACATAGTAACTTTAATTCTGAACACAAATTATTGTAGTTAAAGTTTCACTTGATACAATTTCAATTTTAGGAAGAATATTTTATCAGAATCTTAATATAAAAAATTCAATTGTTTTTTTGTTATTTTTTTTTTTTTTTGCATTTTTCAGTAAGATTGTCGGAAAGTTTTATGATAATATGTATCAGATATCTTTCCCCGAAATAGTTTAATTATTTGTTGGTATTTTGTTGATATTACGCCGCAGCTGTGTTTTTCAAAGCACAGATGTTACATGATCAATGAAGTCCGCTCAGTGTCCGGAACGTGCAGTGACCTTCGTGTTGAAGGTATCGCTTGATTATGAGACAAGGGACAGCAATTAAACAGCAATTAAATTGATGTTCTTTGCTTTTGGTATTGTCTTGTGACTTTAGTGATCGTGCGACTCAATATCCTTTTTCCATCAAGACGTCGGAGATCTTCAGACATTTTTATCTTTGTAAAATAAGATTTCATCAGATATGAAATATGATTTAATTAGAGATTACAATACAGAGAGTCTATGTTTTAGATACAACTTGATAGCGTTAGCCCGAATGGTTGTATCTAATTTTACACCAAGATATTATTGTCAATAGTTTTCAATAATTTAGGAGGGGGATCTTTCAGCGATTTGACCATATGTTGAAAAGCATGATAAATGCAGGGTATCCAATTTCATTTAACGACTTATCTTGTTGTAAATTACCTAATATATATTATTGTATGTTATTCCTAAAACACGTGTCGTACCTTCGGAAATTGGTATCATTCTATTATGCCGGTGGAGATTTTAAATAGCTGGCTCTACTCTAAACCTTTGGACACTTAACAAGTCATATTCGAAGAAACAACAGACTAAATGTTTCTAACACAATACAAACAAGAAATGATTGTAACAGGATGCTGATACGAAGTCTCCTAACGAAGCTCCCATAATTCGTAAATCCCAGGGTCGCCTGACATTGGGCAAAGTCCAGTGAAAATTGGTTTGGTCCAGTAAAGTTATATGCATTAGTGATGCCTGGGGACTAACCCTGTATATCATTCAAATCATCTTGGCATGACAAACCAGAATATATATGGTTTAGGGGTGGGGATCTCGACCATTTGCAAGATACTAGAACATTGGGGTGGGGGGAACCCCTGGGTACTGACCCTATACGTCATTCAAATGTTCGAGACATGACGAACAGGAATATATATGGTTTAGGGGTGGGGATCTCGACCATTTACAAGATATTAGAACTTTCTCAAATGGCAGGGGGGTCGGGATTACCCCTGGGGACTAACCCTGTATATCATTCAAACCATCTTAGCATGAAAAACCAGAATATATATGGTTTAGGGGTGGGGATCTTGACCACTTACAAGATATTAGAACTTTCTTAAATGGCAGGAGGTGGGGGTGACCCCTGGGGACTAATCCTGTATTTCATTTGATGTGCTTTATCATGACAAACCAGAATATATATGGTTTAGGGGTGGGGATCTCGACCATTTACAAGATATTAGAACTTTCTCAAATGGCAAGGGGTCGGGATGACCCGTGGCGACTAACCCTGTATATCATTCAAACCATCTTAGCATGACAAATCAGAATATATATGGTTTAGGGGTGGGGATCATGACCACTTACAAGATATTAGAACTTTCTTAAATGGCAGGGGGGTGGGGTGACCCCTGAGTACTAACCCTGTATTTCATATAATGTGCTTTATCATTTAGAACATTTTCAATTAAAAAGATTGTGTCTATCA